CATTACCGTAGAATATCCCTTGATAAAAACTAATTCAAAAGCCTAAATTCTGCCAGAAGTCATTATTCTACGCGGACGAAGTCGCGGGCAACAGCTAGTGTCTTTATATTGCTTTTAGCTTTAAGCTTTAAAGTTCATTTTTGTCTGTCTCCTCACCTTTATCATGATTTGGCCTTTTCTTGGTTTTGTTATCTTAGTGGTTCTCTTGTTTAAGATTTCTGTTTATAGGTTTTGTTTAAGATATTTTGCTTGGAGCTTGTTCTTTAAATATTAGTACAACGCGTTCTTGCCTTAAGAATGGAATTGTTTAATAAAGAAATCTGATTGGGAGGTGTTTGTCTTTTAAATTATTTACTTCCTTTACTTATCCGTTTACTATTGAGTTAGGCTATTAGACCATTTTGTGGGGTTCTTGGGTTTGAGATTAAAACATTACGACTTCTGTGTTGTTTCAAAATTCTGATTGACGAGTCACTACTCTTATCTAGGTATCTACCTACTTTAGGATCACAGTTATAATTAGGTGCCTTGTTAGATGACTTTGTATTGGATGGTTGAGTCTATTGCCATTAATATAGCATTATATGAACACCTTTACTATTGTCAGTGCTTAGTGGCGAGATTTCTTAATTAAGTAACGCTAATTTTCTTGCTACTTCTTTGAATTTAAAGACTTAAGATAAGTCAATAATGTCTCTCAAATCTTTTCAGACATTTTCACCATCATCATTATTATCATCTACAAAAACATTTACTTTAACAAGTAAAGAAAGTTTCTCAATATAAAGTCACTATAAGATAGCAATCATAACTTCGTGACCAAAGTATCAGGTTGGACGCCGACGCACATCCGCTAATCTTATCATAACGCGTTGCTTAACGTACATTTCTGCACTTGCATTAACAGCTGCGTGTTCCTTCAAAGATTCCCGATAATGTACAACTAGTTTTGCGATTGTATCGCATGTGAAGTCTCGGTACATTTTGATAGCAGTGTTGATAGACTGTGTTCTAATTATTGGTTGGTTTGTGGTAATATAACATGGCGGTGTATTGATAGTAGAGAAGTGTAATATAAGTGCAGTAGCCATTTGCAAAATTATCTTTTCTATGTTTAGAAAAAGGTTGCAAATATCTTATGATTTTTTTATTCATCTGACAATATACTTAATTTTAAGAACCATGTGTAGATTTGACATCCTCTATGCCATACAATATACATAGAAGTCAATCATAATAATGAGAATTTTGATATTAAAATTCTCGATGATATTTTGGATGT